GCAAATGGTCAGGTCAAAAGATCCAAAAGGAAGACTAAGGGCCCTTCACACCATAGCGTTGTGTTATTTGCACAATACCATGCATGTAATGCACACTATTGCACAGTGCACCCATTGCATTGCCTATTCATTCAAAAGGCATCCCAATGCACCTGTTGGTGGCCATGTGTTGCAGCAGTACTATGCACCGTGGTAAAAAAAAGTAGCATTGGGGTGCCATTCAATGAACGGCAACACAGCGCACCTAGCGCTGTGCATGGCAACCAATCAGCTTCTCTCTTGCAATTTCAAAATTAACTGAACAAACTGAAGAGAGAAGCCTGATTGCTTGCCCTGGGCAGCGGCTCTAGATTTTGATTGCTCCAGTTTTGATAAATTCCCCCCAAGGTATGCGATTTACATTATGCTATGGTGTGAATGTGCCCTGAAGTGAATCTGCTGATGAGTCCAGCTTCCAGTCCTGAAGTAACTGCTGAGCTGAATGTACTGTATGTGTAAAATAAACAAATAGTCTAAGCCTGTGCTATCTAGTCTGCAGCGGGTGTGTATTATCCAACAGAGATATATATAAAAAAAATATGTATAACTACGTAAACACAGAGCTCCTAATTCAAATAATGTTTAGATAGAAACTACCTGAATAAAATCAAAATCAGAAAATTCTAATGGACATGTAGCAGTAATAAAACTAGAACATAAATAAATAACAATGCTCCTATGTGCAATCTCAATGAAGACATGTATTAAGGTATCCAATGCGCCTTTTATTGTGTCATTGTAAATGTAATCAAGAACAATTAGCTAGCAAGCACTAAGAGAACATAACAGCCCTGCAGAGGAAAAAAAGAACGCTGCCTTTTTGCTTGCCAGTGTCTTTGCCCATAACAAACATGGCTGCCCCTTGAAGCCGGATGATGAGTGACAGCTGTTCAGGGTCTTGTGACTTCTGCTTCCTGTCAGCTGACAGCAGCTGTGTAGGAAGCTGTGTTTGGTTCTGTTAGAGCTGGGATCAGTAATCTAAAACAACTGGGGATTATATGATCGGGTGAGTACATTTTTGCCTTTATATTGTATTCATTTCGTTGTAAGACTCTGGATGTGGGTGAGCTGTGTGTTCATATAATTCCCCAACTGCTGACTTACTGGCTTCCTTTTTTCTGCCACTACATGCTGAGACCTGTAGTTCCACAGCAGCTGGGGAGCCACAGGTTGAGCTGTCCTGGAATCCTGGGTATATTTCCACTTTTTATAGAAGAGTACAGATTTGAAATGAAAGCATAATAAAAGTAAGTGTAAAAAGTGATGTTCCTGCAGTTATAATGTTTTTATACATGCATGCAGAAACAAGGCTGATTCCAGGAAGCCTGTACAGAGAAAATTACAGGGGTCACCATGGATGATTAGATTTCAATAATGCTTCCTGAGGTTGTTATGTGCAACAATCATACAGGTAGGAAAGTCAAAGTACTGACACCATTGGATCAGCATGACAGCTAGGGAAGTAGTATATTTAGAAGGGGACATCAGCAATAGCAGGCTCTGTATATGCGCAGTACAGATTTCCTTTACAAGGGATGTGGATTGAAATGCTCAATGTACAGTTTGCCACTGTGTATAAATATGAGAAAGTACAAGCAAAACATAAAAGACGTGTGTCAAAAAGATGTGTTCAGAGCAATAACATAGACTGTACTTGCAGTAACCACCTTGAGACAGTCAGCATATACTAAGGCTACATTCACACTTGTGCTCTGTATGCAGAGGAAAGTCAGGCTGTGTCTATGCTTTAAATCCTTGGTTCTCAACTGGTGGGTCGCGCGTCCTTGTTCAGTGGGTCGCCGCATGCCTTCCACTTTTCTTGGTGAGAGGCTTCTCAGCCCCCCCTAGCACAGCACGGTCAGCTCTCATGCCAAACAGCCATTCATACTATGCTGCCCGGCGTGGAATGTCAGCTTGAGGTGGGAGATGGGATGGGGGCTATGGCTGTGAGGGAGCTCCATTCACATGTGCATTGCTTATAGCTCCCCAAGTGTTCCGTAGAGGTGCCTGGACCGGATTGACATCACATTCTGGCTCCCAGCACCTGTACAGGGCACGCAAGGGAGCTGTACAAGCAATGCATGCATGGATGGAGCTCCGTCGCAACACAAAACCCCACACTGGATCCAAGGCTGAGGATCCACTGAAGTTCTTGTAAGGTAGGGAGACTGGGGGGACCTTCATTTTTTCTTTTTGTCTGTGGTTGTGTATGTATGTCAGTGTTTTCGAGGGGCCGTGTACAGTAAGTTAATCACAAAGTCCTGTGCGATTAACGCACTGTACCAGGCAATTGCACCTACCATGCATTCTGGTGTGGGAGGTGTGTTGCATTGCCATTCATTTGAATGGTACCCCAAAATCTCCTACCACCCACAGTTCGTACGCTCGCACTGAAATGCACGGTACCCAAATGCTGTGCATTCCATTGCAGTGCGGTTTGGGTCGCGACTTAATGACATAGAACAAATATGGGTCCTGAGGTTACACAGGTTGAGAACCACTGTTTTAAATGGTGTGTTTACATGCATTTATGTAGTTGGATGCATCCGGTACCAGATCAAAGCATCAACATGTGTTTACATGCTTTTAGAAGTTACAAATCAATATTAGATGCACCGGACTTCAAAACGCAGATAAACGGACTGCAGAGATAAAAGCATCTAGACGCAAGGTGTGAATTGATCCATTAGATGCATATATATGCGTTATGAAATGCTTTTTATTGCACCTAGTGTGAATGTAGCCTTACTGCTTAATGCGGAACGTTCCTGACCAAGTGTATAGACCAGTGGTGTCTGACTTTAAAGCCAAACATAAGCCCTTGTTCACACCTGAACGTTTTGTAGCGCGTTCTACGCTCGACGAACGCTCTACAAAACGCTCAAACATCTAAATCCCATTGTATTCAATGGGTCTGGTTCACACCTTGGCGTATTTCAGCCTGTGCCTGACGCGCTACAAAATGGCCCACGCCTGAAAAGGTACATGTACTACTTTGGGCCGTTTTTGTTGCGCGTTTCCATTGGGATACAGCCAAGTATCCCTAAAAAAAACGCGCGACAGACACTCATATGCAATACGCCTAGGTGTGAACAAGGGCTTAATGCTTGTTGATTCTAGGGGTAGAGGGAGAAGGTGTAATACTTACCTTATTGCTTGTTCTGGCAGGCTCCCTGCATGTGTGTGACCAGTCCCCAAAGCCTGCTCCAGCCGGGGGTCACACACTGACGTCATCACCGACAATGCAGGACCAATAATCTGCCATTGTGAGTACAGCAAGGGGCCGCTCACATCCTGGAGCATCTGAGTGAGGAATAAGGCTAGTTTTGCTCCTTATTCCTCTACCACTAGACTTAACAAGTATATAACCCCTGCAGTGTGGGCGGGGTCTCCACTGCATAGGTAGTTTTTGTGTAATATCTGGAGTTCAGCTTTAAAGCACCCAAGGGCCACATTTGTGTCCAAAATCTGAGTGAAGAGTTGTGTCTAAAGCAAGCACCCTGTCCAGGCTGTCGGAGGAAGATCCTCTGGCAGATGAGGATGACAAAGTGTGCCCTTCCCCTGCACGTGAACATTTTAATTCAGCAACACAAAAAAAAAATGCACAAACTACATTTTTTAAAGATTATATTAAAATAATCCCCAAAAACTGAGGAAGGTTATGAAGGAATGATTACAAATGAATAAGAGTTAAAGCAGAATCAGCGTCCTCATGTCCTATGCAGTGTGTATAGACATGAAGATTTATGGCAGAGACGTTGGAAGGACCTGTCTTAGAGCAAGCCGGCTCGGAGGATCAGGTGAGTATAACTTTATTTTCCTCCCTAGAACAAAACAAGCAGTTTACCCCTTGCGGTGCCAGGGTAGCCCCACTGCAAGGCCTAATAATCATTTTCCCAATAGTTCTTCTTCAAAGTATACAGGTGAAACTCGAATAATTAGAATATCGTGCAAAAGTAATTGCAGTAAGTGCTGCAAAAGGGGCCCCAAACCAAGTACTGAGTACATATGCATGCTTGTACTTTTCAGAGGTCCGATATTGTTCTATGTACAATCCTTGTTTTATTGATTGCATGTAATAATCTACTTTTTTGAGGTTGTGGATTTGGGGTTCTTGGGGTTTTCATGAGCTGTAAGCCATAATCATCACAATTATGACAAATCACGGCTTGAATTATCTTGCTTTGTATGTAATGAGTCTCTCTCATATATTAGTTTCACCGCATAAGTTGCATTAGTGAAATAAATGAACTTTGCACGATATTCTAATTATTCGAGTTTCACCTGTATGTGAAGGCAAAACTTTTATCATTTTTGATAGAGCAAGGAAGGGTTAAAACAGTCACCTACACTGTGACCATGTCTTAAATTAGAAAGTTAACACACTAGGCTCAGGATATATATAATAAAAAATATATATCTATATCTATATTTATCTCTCTCTATCCTCACGTCTGTCAGTGCGCACTCTGGTTCAGGCTCCCACAAGTAGGGAAGTATATAGTGTAAGCCTGCATCAGGCCTGTCCAACAGGCAGCATGCAGGATCTTCTTTTGCGGCCCCCAAGGCAGGGCAGGAAGGAGCTGCCAAACTAACAGACCAGTCGTGCAGATTACACAGGGAGGGTGCAGTGTTCCCTGAGTAATCAGTGGAGCTCCCCTGTCAGTACCAGCAATCCGCTCTCCATCAGGATAAACAGCAGAAAGAATGGCTGTCACAGAGCTCTGCTCATTACACAGGGAGAGGTGCATGGCCTCAAAGGCACAAATCTCCCCAAGTGGAGTTCTAGTAGAGAAAAGAAATAACCTTTTGGGTTACATGAGAGACCTTTGAGTCAAAGTTCTAATAGATTGCACTGTGCTGTGTTCTGTAGTGGCGGATCTCAAATGTTCTGATTTGTAATACAGACACTGATCAGTCTTCCCTTTTTGCTCACAGGTAACCGTGATCTGCAATAAACAATGGCTGAGGTGAGTGCCCTTTGCGTTATACAGCTGGGAAATCCAGTGTACACCATTTTTGGTTTCATACAAAATACATAGGCCCTTCTGCCGCTATTTAATATGTATGTTGTTGGTTTACTGAAGCAGTAAAGGGAAATAAGATCAGGAAGTTTCCCCGGTTTGTGTCACAATGTCCGGGGGGGAGCTTTGCTGCATCACATGACCACCTCCCCTGTTCCAGCATGCAGCAGGAGGAATGTAGCTGCAGTATACTTAAAGCTGAACTTCAGCCAGGCTCCTCTCCTGTACTAAAATTGCTGGCTGATTTCACTGCACTGCTCCAATGCACTTGTGCATTAGAAGCTGCAGCAAGTCATATAGAGCTGCTTCATATCCCAGAGGATGTCTAGCACTTTCCTATCCAGCTTTAATGTTGTCTCTGGCCTGCCCCTTTCATTCATTGGCTTTCAGTTCTTTCAATCATGGAGGCATCGGCATCACATATAGGCAATGCCACAGCTTCCTGTTTTCAGGAAGCTATGTACAGCACCCTCTCTCTCATTATCAATGATCTGTCTGCGTTTTATAGAGAAGCACAGAGACTGAGTAATGACATCACTGGGTCTAAGGTATGTAATGAAAACAGAACCATTTTTTTAATACTTTCATTAACATGTTACTAAGGGAGGGAAGACACAGGAAAGATTAAATATCAGCTTTAAAGGGTGACGTTTTATTGAGCGAGAGATTATTCTTTAAAAGCGATGATGAATTATGAGGGATCTGAGATGAATAATATATTGTATACTGGTGACTTGTAAATCTGTCTGCTTTACCTGAAAATTGAGCCAAATATCCAATAGCTTTCCGTGTGGTGTTGTTGCTGAGCTTTACATCAGTCATATAACATAAGCTCCTCTTTCCATTGGTGATCATTAAAGCAGAAATCTGGGCAGACTTTCCTATTAACCCTTGCAGTTGGGCTACCCCCACACTGCAAGGGTGACTGCTCCTCTTGGTCTAGGGTTTTCTATGATTAACTGTGGGAATTGGCAGCCACATTGCAGAATTCTACAAGGATGATAATGGTCTATTCATCGTGATACTAAACTGAGTGAACATTGTATTGTCAGCTGGGGAGGAACTAAACTTTTTATCACCTGATCATGACATCAGTTTGGCAGATTTGTAATATTTTGTTTTCTCAATCAGGATTTGAGGAGATTCCTCTACAAAAAGCTTCCAAGGTAAGCCAGTTTTCATTTGTACACTAAGGCCCTATTCTCACCTGTGAATGGGGCCGATTGCATGAGTCCCATGAATTCCTCTGTGAGACTGATGCGATCTCCTGCGGGCGGAGGTGATGTATAATACAATGACAGCTGACACAACCTAAAGCTGTACGCAAGTGATAGCGCAGCTTGTGATTGTCTGCGTTTGACTGCACGGGTGCACAGGCTCTTTGCATCCGGGGTCAGCCGTCCGCAGGTAATCACAGGCTGTGCAATGACTTGCGGACAGCTGCGGGTGGTGCCGGCTGTTATTGGATTACATATCGCCTCCCACCCACAGGAGATGGTATGAGACGCATGCGATCGGCCCCACGAATGGTGCCTGACAGCAGTGATGCGGTTTCCTACAGTTGCATGCAGGGGATAGTTTGGGGTGTCTATATTAGATCGTAAGCTCTCACAAGCAGGGCCCTCCTAACCCTCTTGTATTGAATTGTATTCTAACAAGGGATGTACAGATACCGTTTTTCCGGTATCGAGTAAGAGTACCAATGGAAGTCCCATTAGGGAAGCCATGCATCGTGTAATGACTCGCTACCTGGCTTTCTGATTAGCAGGGAAGCCAGGTGGCGTGTCTAGACCCGCCACCGACAGCTCCGATTAGCATGGAAGCTGTCTCCATACTTCCTTGTCACCAAAAGCATGGAGCCGGCTTTCTGGCCACTCGGGAAACTGGGCACCTTGTAATGACGCGGTGCCCGGCTTCCTGTTTGGCCGGGAAGGTGACCTGCTGACGAGGGAGCATGAAGCCAACTTTGTGGCCAATCGGAAAGCCGGGGGGCGTCTAATGTCTCACCGTCCAGTTTCCTGATTGGCCAGCTTCCCGACCAATCAGGAAGCCGAGCAGCGAGTCGTTATATGTTGCCTGGCTTCCTGATTGGCCGGGAAGCCGGCTCCATGCTCCGTCGTCACTTGCATGGAGCTGGCTTTCTAGCTAATCAGGAAGCCGGGCAGCATGTAATGACTCACTGCCCGGCTTCCTGATACCGGAAGCTGCAGTATTGGGCTAGGCATCAGAGCATTTGTGCGAGTACAAGTACTCGCCCAAATACTCGGCATTGATACTGATACCGATACCGATACTAGTATCGATGCATCCCTAATTCTAACTGTACTGTCTCCCTTTACTTTGTAAAGCGCTGCACACACTTTTGGCACTATATAAATCCTGTATAATAATAATGAAAAATAATAATATGCGAGTTCGGAAACCTACATTCGAGAAAGACATTCAATGCAGTAATATGTATGCACATGAATAAACAAAATTGGACTCCGATATATATTCAATATATTTATTTTGCAGTGTGGAAGGACTTCATGCTGTTGTGGTCTCAGACAGAGATGGTGTCCCTGTTATTAAAGGTGAGAGAGGCAGTGTATACTTCTAGAAATAAGATCTCCAATGTACCTCCATTATAATACTGTAAAAATCAGCCTCAGCATTTTATAGGTTCATCTCTCTACCACTGTGGATCTTGTCTGGTGTTCATTCCTTTCTTTCTGCAGCAAGCGTAACCTGTGGACTGTCTACTGTATGTTACATGTATTCACAGAGTATAAAGTGCCTCGTCTAGCACAACACAAACTATTATGTAATGGAAACGGCTTTCACAGAGTGATAAGGAAATGTCAACAATTAATACTTTCTATTCATTTCAAAATAGTTGCGAATGAAAACGCTCCAGAGTTTGCCTTGCGGCCTAGTTTCCTGTCTACGTTTGCACTGGCTACTGACCAGGGGAGCAAGCTGGGACTCTCCAAAAACAAGAGTATCATCTGTTATTATAACGCGTATCAGGTATGTGTGTTTTTTTTTTTTTTTTTTTATAGCCATAACTTCTTAAGTAAAGTTAAAGTGACCCTAAACTGAGGAGTTAAATCTAAAAAAATTTATTCAGGTACCCTAACTACCGTGTTTCCCCCGAAAATAAGACCTACCCCTATCTTTAGAGATTCCTGTAATATAAGACCGACCCCTATCTTTAGAGATTCCTGTAATATAAGACCGACCCCCGAAAATAAGACCTAGTTTGGTGGTACGGTAGCATGTACTTTACCGCACTGTCCAGGGCCCTGGTATTCTGTCATTTTGGGGTTGGGGGCGGGCCAGAGAGAGTACACGGCGGGGACTGACCGCCGCGCCGCAGCTCCCGCATGCCACCCGTGTCATGAAATCAGCAGACACCTGTCTGCCTCGGCTTTTGCTTAGAGAGCTGCCGCTGTGCAGGAAACTACATTTCCCCGCAGTGAGCGGCGCGGCATGGGCAGTGGGGTCGGAGTGAGATGAGGTGACTGAGCCTCTGTCACTGAGGGAACTTCTGACATTAAAACATAAAAAAAGACATCCCTTGAAAATAAGACCCAGTGTGTTTTTTTTTTTGGGGGGGGGAATATAAAACAGTATCTTATTTTTCGGGGGAAACACAGTATTAACAAAAATGCATCTTATTTGTGTATCACTCAGCTGTAGATCCTCAAATCATCTCTGAATTGGTGCTGACACTGTCCTTCCTTCTGGAGGGTGGTTACTTTTGTTCCCCTTTGGTCCCTGTGCATGTTGTAAAGTAAATGTGAGAATGTAGTCCATCACAGGAGTGACCTTGGAGCAATGACTACTTTACAACACACACAGGGACCATGGGGAACAAAGATAGCCACCCTCCAGAAGGAAGGACAGTGTCAGCACCAATTCAGAGATGATTTGAGGATCTACAGCCGAGTGATACACAAATAAGATATACATTTTTGTTAATGGGGTATTTGAATGCATTTTTAAGATTTCCTGAGTTTATTGTCACTTTAAGGGGTCGCGGACGATGTCCTTTTAACCATGGGGGGGGGGCGACGCGAACGAGCACATATTAGACGATCGGCGGGCTATGGAGCCGCTAATCGCCTACATGTGAAACACCCGGTAACCCCGCCAATGCAGCAGTGCCTTACGTCCATTTTTTTTTACTACGGGCGGACGGCAAGAGGTTAAAGGGGCACTGTCACTTTGCCTTGCATAGTCAATCAATTTTTAATCAAATGACAAGTGTAAGTGAAACCATTTAGTTTCTTCTTGTGCCCTGCTGCTTTTCCATCACAGTACTAGTACATTTTATGGCATAATTGAGTTTGGTATAAACACAAATGCTATTTAGTACACAATACTGACGTTTTCTAAACCATAGCATCGTGTCTTTCACTTTCTAAGGAAAGCTGTAAGCCTAGTTAATGAGACTGTCAGGGTTTTTTGGTAACAGATTATTACACAGTTTCACATGTTTGTTTGTTTTTGGCTTAAAGTGACATTAAACCCTCAGATTTTTTAACATAAAACAATACTGTAATGTGTGCCTTACTGTAATCCATGGTTGTTTCCCTTCTCTTTGCTGCTCTTCCTTTTAAATCCTCATGTCTTCTCATGCTGGGGGAGAACTTCCCTTTTCAGCTCAGGGCCTCTTCCTGTAGTGCTGGCTCAGGTTACAAGCCTATAGAAACTAATACACAGACACCGTGTATCCATTCCTGAGACAAGGCAGTCTGCTGCAAAACAGAAGTTCTGCAGAGCACGAGAACAGATACAGATTTAAAAGGAAGAGCAGCAAAGAGAAGGGAAACAACCATGGATTACAGTAAGGCACACATTACAGTATTGTTTTATGTTAAAAAATCTGAGGGTTTAATGTCACTTTAAGGTAAAATTGACCCCCTGGACACTTGCTATATTGTATCTTTCTAAATGGATGTAGTGCCTGGTTTTACCTGCAGGTGTCACTGGAGAGCAAATCTAAAACAACAAACCTGTGTGCTGCTGAAACTGGAAAGAGGAAGTAACTGCTATGTTGCCGCATGAACGCTTTACAAGTCAGGATTCACTTTTCTGTTATATGGAGATTCTTTAGTAATGGTCGATAGTCACTGTTCAAGGCTTTTATTTAAAGCTGAACTCCAGGCAGAAAAAAGGTTCTTTAATATTATTAAAGGTGTTTTTTGCATACACCAAGTCATAGCAGAATATGTCTTTGTATTAGTTCTGTGTAATTCAGTGCACAGGAACCCCTCAGAATGTTAAGCACTCATGGGAGGAAGCATGAATTGCATGTATTTTAAAACACATTACACAGTCATTTATAAGTATTTAAATCCTTCTTTATATTTTGCTTTTTTTTAATCTGAAAGGACTTGGGTTTGGAGAGGGAGTCTGGGCTCTTTTGCTTTGCAAAATGCTGTGAGTCTAACACTGTGAACATGCTTGTTGGAGATGAGAGCACAGAGATGCCTTAATCAATGTGCTGCTGCCCCATCATTGTCTGATCAGCAAGCAGTTGGGTGCTTGACTAAGCTGTATTGCTTTAATGTGGTAAAGAAGCAAATGCCACCTCTGTTGTCTGGTAGACATGCTTGGCACACACCATTGCACATCCTTTGGTTGACATACTGTATGGATTACATGTTTTACATACATGTGAAGATAGTTAGATATTTACCTGGAGTTCAGCTTTAATAGCTTGATATTTTTTTAAATTATTTTTTACATGTTCTTATATGGAAGCATGCAGTTCTGACCTGCTTCTGAAAATGATAATGTACTCTGTTCATCTCTGACTCTGGAGTCAAAATATCTTATCTGCATAAATGATCCAGGCCGGTGACTCGGTGTACTGAGACCACTGGATCAGCATGACGGGAAGACAGTAGGTATTTTCAGGAGCAGTCACCACTGGCAGGTTACATAAAAAAAAATAATAATCATGAGCTGTAGAAGCATGACTTTGCAGTGTCTTAAATCTTTTGTCTGTGTTATAGGTAGTACAGTTTAACAGATTGCCATTGGTTGTCAGCTTCATAGCCAGCAGCAATGCCAACACAGGTATGATTTGAAATGAATGTTTACAAAGTATGACTGGACAGTACTACTGGTTTTATGTGCAGGTATCTATTATACACAGAGACATTATCAGGGGAGGTACAAACTAGGGATGTCCCGATACCACTTTTTCAAGACCAAGTACTTGCCCTCTGGTACTTGCCGATACCAATTACCGATACTTTTTCTTAAAGGGTCATGTGACTTTTTAAAAAACAATACAGACTAATGCTTTTAGGGCAGTTTCTCACCAGGGCTGAATAGAGATCTCACCAGAACTAAATACAGATCAGACAGAATCTGGACGCAGCCTGGTGAGATCTGGACTCCAGATCCCACCAGGCTGCGTCCAGATGTCACCAGAGCTGCATCCAGATGTCACCAGGGTTGCCTATTGGGTCTCTCCAGCGCTGCATACAGATGTCAGCAGGGCTGCATTTTGCGTTTACGCTGACAGGTGCTGTGCTGAGGGATTGCTGAATGGAGCAGGTGCCGGTCACGTGCCTGCTCTGAGGCTGTATTCACGGTGTGGGGCTGCCTCAAGCAGTGCCTGCGCCAGGAAGGAGGAGGAGAGCATGTGGGACCTGGCAGGTAGTGTCAAAGGCTGCTTCAGGACCCCACAAGCACGGGACCTGAGGCAGCCGACCCGATTGAAAAATTTAAAGGGCCAGTATTGGCCTAAAGTATTGGGGCATTTGCACGAGTACAATTACCGGCCCCGATTCCAATACTAGTATCGGTATCGGGACATCCCTAGTACAAACCTTCCACATTACCCACCAATGCAGCCAGCTAGTCCTGTTGTATAGCAAAGCACACAACAAATCTAGCTGGATGTATATGTGCTTTACATTAGGACTACTTACACCAGTCACATCTCTTATAACAGACACTATTGATCAGTAAATAATGAAGTAGTAGAATTAGAGAAGAGCATGGGTACTACAAACTCAGGCAGGTTGCACTGTAAGCCCTTTAAGGGGGTTGCCACTATAAATACCAATGGGGGAGAAATCAGAGAGAGAGAGAGTGTGTTAATTTACACGGACTGCTTGTAGAGCACAGACGTGGCTGTTTCAAAAGGAGCCATGAGGATATAAAGAGAATATAAAAAAAAAGTATGTTTCTGTGTTCATATACAGCAACTGCATACACCTGCTTCATTTACATATGTAATGGCATATGTTTTTTTTTTTTTACATACCTCTGCAAAGGTGGAAATGGGCTTTAAGCATTTTTAATTTGGTTTTCATGTGTTTTCAAACTTCAGGCATTTTTGTTTTGGCCAAGCAGTATCATATGTGACATCATATGTCATTGTTTTTCTGTGTGGTGTAGAGGTGCCTTGTGCTATCAGAGCTTACAAAATGTGAAAACGTCATGCCCAATTTCTTCCTTCTGCCACTTGCCCCATTTCTTGTAATGGGCATTACTGAGGTCGTAGAGGTTGCTGAGGGCCAAGTCTCCACAGCCAGCATTGACACTCTTGGAGCTGAATCCTCCATTTTGTTCATGGGCCTAAATTTGTTAGAAGAACACAGTTGTTAGGCGCAGAAAATGCATTAAACACTTGTGTCACGCATTTTCAGGCACTTCCATTGAGGTCTGATGGGGCAAAAACTATGCAATTTTGCCCAGAAAAAAAGCTTGTGTACTTTTTTTGTACAAAAAGGTGTAAACGGGTACCATTGAATATAATAGGAAACCTTGTGTTGAGTGTTGTCACGCTTTGGGAAGCATGTGACAAAACAGTCAAGTGCGAATGAAGACCAAGTCCTGCTTCTCTTAAATCTAATTGTTTTACTTTGTCTTCTAAGGTTTGATACTCAGCTTAGAGAAAGAGCTCGGGCCTTTGTTTGAAGAACTGCGGCAAGTTGTAGAAAACTCCTGATCGAGCCGATTTATGATTTTATGGACTTTTCACATGATGGAGAGTTGCCGATTCCAAAGCAGACCGATATTCTACAGCCTAAATGATCTGTGCTTCTCTACAGCTCAGGCTGGAGCTCTGATTTGCTGTTGAAATGATGCACTTCCTGTAGCTTGTAATAACAGTCTGTATTCTAGAACTATTATCCAGATGCACAACAATAAGTGTAACACTGTGGAGGGAACTGTCCTATTTTGGGGAATATTTTGTATTAACTCATATTATGACTTACCCAGCAAGAACCTGGCAAATAAATTGTAAATCAACACAGCGTGTTGTAATATTCATTCTCACTTCTTTTTCGAAAATTGAAGACTGTTTGTTTTTCATCAACGAGGAAAACAGCCTTTCCAATTCAGTTGAATTTTTCCTTCATATTTCAGATCCAGCCCTGATTTCCCCCAAAATGAATTGCGCATATATGTTCAATTATACTAAAAGTTTTTTCTTCCTCTTTTCTTAACCACTTGCTGTCCGGGGTGTTAAACCCCCCTTCCTGTCCAGGCCATGTTTCAGCATTCAGCGCTGCGGTACTTTGGCTGACGTTTATTCCGTCACGCAACGCTGTACTGAAATGAATTTTATACCATTTTTTGGGGACAGGTAGAGCTTATTTTTGGTGGTATTTAATCACCACTGAGGGTTTTTATTTTTTACTATATAACAAAAAAAGTACGGAATATTTAAAAAAAAAAATGGTTTTCCCTTTATTATTTTAGGAAACATTTTTACCCATTTTTTTTGTAAAATATAAAAGTCGGGGTCACGTCGGGTAAATAGACACCAAACATGTCAAGACTTAAAATTGCGCGCGTCCGCGAAATCGCAAAAAAACACCATAGCCAAAATTGGCCATAGGCAACGGTTTAAAAGATTTTACCGCTCATCAGTTTAGCGTTATCAGTGATTGATGGCTCGAGCATTATTGCTCTCATTGCGACGTTCGCGGCTATATGTAACACGTGCAGCATAATTGGAGCAATCGTCATTTTTGCGTGTAGGCGCATCCAACGCATTTTTGCGCATCTATGTGGGGGTGGGGGACTTTAAAAAAAATTGTGTTTTTTTTTGCTTTGTGTGTGTACATTTTTATTTTATTTTGTGAGCTTTTTTTTTTTTTACACTTAACTTTATTGTTATCACATAGGGTGCTAAGAAGTGCCCTATGTGATAACAAATTACAGGTCCCCTTTATGGAGACATCAGAGGTCTCTAAGACCCCTAATGTCACCTAGGGACCCCCAGAGAAGCTGATGAAGCACAGATCTGCTTCATCAGCTTCTTTCCAGTTTCTGTACCAGAGAGTGGCAGAGGAATGCGGAAGTGATGTAATATACATCACTTCCTGCATTCAGAGAGCGGAAAGGAAGACCTCCTGGGGTCTATAACGCCTTGTTCCTTGAGCTAGCTCTGGAGGCCCCCCAGAAAGATTAGAGATGGACAATCATCGTCGAGCTCCACTATTATTTTCCCAAAGTGCACCTGTTGCAGACAGCCCACAATTCCTACAAACTCTTTCAGGGACATGCCTACAAGATTTCATAGATTTGACCTCGACAACAATCGTAAATAGAAGGAACATGTGCTCCTACCTATCAGAGGGTATCAGATATAACTGTGACTACCCTTTAATGAAATCTTTACCCTCCGTAATAACAACACCTATGAATTGCGTATCCTGAGTACATCCACACAGGCTTCAAGAAGCTGGGCCTGCATGTTATCCATCTATTTCACCCAACCTCGTGGCTTTGTTTTAGGGAAGGCAGACGGCTCTTGGGGATCTCTGTGCTGTACCTTCCTATACATATCCATGCTTGTATTGAGTGTGGCTATTCCCTCGCTCTGTTTGTCATCACTAAGGGGCTTTCTTTTCCTTTTGCACCACTTTTTTGTTCCTTTAAAATGTTCCCCCGTATGCATATCTTTTATCTTTTTTCTCTGTGAAGCTAAAAACCAAAACAAACTATATGTAAAACCAAAACAAACAAATGTGCAATATGCTACCCAACCGGTTTGAAAATAACATTATTGGGTTCTTAGGTTTATGAACAGAAATTCCACAATATATAAATGGTAGCATATCTGGATATTTTAATATGTTCCAATATATTTGTGAATGGACTTATTATGAATGGTTTATATATGCTGCATCTTTGCAGTATTTGTGTGGTATATACTGTAAGTGGCAAAGTAAGTTTAATATTTAAGTTTGAAGAATGTTATTCCACATTTGTTGTCTTTGCATATGTATTATAGTAAACCTTTGAGTATAGCTTTCTTTCCTTTTCCTTCTTTCTTCGCTAATATTTCTCTAATGGGAGTGCACACCATTTACCTAGTGGTTTAGGAAGGGGACGAGTGGCTGTTGACTTTTATAGTTGTGCATAATCTTTTAAAGTGCACATCTGAGGCCATAAACATGGGGCCTGCAAACTGACACTGCAGCATTTTACTGTTCAGCATGGAGAGCTTTACACTGTATTCCTTGGCATGGAGATTTCAACACCAAATACAAACTAAAAATAAACTGCATCCCCAACATGACTGGCCTCTAACTTAATCGTAATGCCTAACACTCAATCCTACATGAACCCTGATAATTGTGTCAACTGTAAAAATTAACCTTTCACCTAACCTGAAAATGCTTCTTAACCACTTGAAGTCCGCAGTGTTAAATCCCCTTCCCAGCCAGAGCTTTCTTTTGGTGGTATTTAATCACCACTGGGGGTTTTATTTTTTAATATATTAAGGAACAATTACAGGAAAAAAAAGTTTCCCCTATATTAAATGATAAAACATTTATTATAACCCAATTTGTTGGTAAAATATAAAAGGCGGGGTCACGTCAGGTAAATAGACACCAAACATGCCAAGACTTAAAATTGTGCGCGCGTGCGAAACCTCCAAAAACTACATTACCCAAAATTGGCCATAGCCGACGCTTTAAAAGCTTTTATCGCTCATCAGTTTAGTGTTATCAGTGATTGATGGCCCTAAACTGGGGGGGGGACTTAAACTTTTTTTTTTTACTGTCTTTTTATGTGACTTATTTATTTTTAACTTTTTTTTTTTTTTTTTACACTTAGTTATTTCCTCACTCCCTGTCTCCTGATCCTAACACACCTAACCCTTAATGTGTTTCTAAAGGAAATGTTTTACTTTTAGTTTTATATACAGTAAAAAAAAAAAAATACATAATTGGATGCGGAAATTCTTAATATTGAATGCTAACACAACTGCATGGAGGTCTCAGAACCAAATGAAAAAACAATGCTTCGGTGACCTGGAGCAAACTTGCAGCCAGTAAAGTCTGAACATTCTGAATTCCCTTCTTCTGTGTTTGTTATAAGACTCGCTAGGTAGTAAAGCCAGGATCAGTATCACAGCCACTATGCCTGCACCAGACCAAACAAGCAATGACAGCTTCAAGATTTATATCCCCACAGGTTCATATTAAGGGTATATTGGAAAATGTAATTATGTTTGCCTAACATACAAATGTGGGTAAAAGAAAATAAAGATTTTAGTAACGGAGTCTGAAATACCTATAAACACTCGAAATAACGGGTTTCGAAAACCTATATGACATCAAACACGTTCTTATATGCTTGTTCATACAGAGATCACAGAATGATTTCTTCTCCAACGTGGTACATATTTCATGGCTAAATTGTTTTGTGCTTGTGGCGGGTGTGAAAGCACCCCCCAAAGAAATCAGGAAAGTAGAAGCTATGCCAATTTTGTCTAGGCTTTGGTTTACTGGAAAGATACAGCATTAGTCATAGACATGCGCACAAGGTATGCCTGGGCACACCCTAATCACCACCATGCACACATGCAGGGGCAGACTGGGGGGAGATTGCCCCTAGCCCTCTCCGATGCCCTGCAGGCTGGGCCGGCGCTACGACGCTGTACCATTCCCCAGTCAGTACGTAGGCTCCGAGGCTGTCAGCCATGTGACCACTGCAGCAGTGTGTCCTCCTGGTGTGTACAATGTGGAATCTGCAGGAGGCGGGGCATCTTACTAGTGCCTGGACTGAGCAGGCTACTACAGTGTATGAGGAGGCTGCAGGGCTATGGCGTGGGGGTGCCACTGGGGTAGGTGGGGGGTCTCTCTCTCTCTCCTCAGAGCCAGTATTGGGGGGGTGCAAGAGGAACCAGTATTAGTGCTTTTTTTTTTAATCGCACTAAATGTCCCTCTTTCTTTGTGTTGCAGAGCCCTGAGTCCAGTGCATAGCAGAGCCCTGAGTCCAGTGCATAGCAGAGCCCTGAGTCCAGTGCATAGCAGAGCCCTGAGTCCAGTGCATAGCAGAGCCCTGAGTCCAGTCCATAGCAGAGCCCTGAGTCCAGTCCATAGCAGAGCCCTGAGTCCAGTCCATAGCAGAGCCCTGAGTCCAGT